ATCAATGTAAGATTGGATCTGATCACTTTTTTCGATTAAAAATGGAACGTTTATTATTTACTTGAAGGAAGAGATGTTTTTGCCGTTATGCCAACGGGGATTGCTTGTCGTGAAGTGTTGGAATACCTGTAGCAACATTATCACTGGGATAAACTATAGTATCCTTTACTTGAGTTTCATTAATTTCGAACAGATTTGATACGTTTATATGTTCTTGGTTGATGTTGACTCTGTCCTTGCACTGGAGAAAACCGCGCTTTTCGTGGTGAACATTTAGAGGCAGTTGCATGTAAGCCTATTCGAAACATTTTGCGATTTGCAGGGCTTCTCTGAGAGGGCGAAACAGAAGACTGTAATTGCCGTTTAAAACGATCTGGACTCTGAACGCTCTCTTCTTTTGTTGAGTTCTTGACTTTACCAAATTAAATAACTGAACTAAATTTCGTACTTTCCGCCCACAAGAATTGCTGTGCAATCACGTCCTGATAAGTGAGACAATTTATTTATAACATTTTACAAAACACCCGATCTTTCTTGCAGGCCCACTATTCTTCCCTCAGTGGGCCTACACGCGGGCTATAAAAAATCTCTCGTCGCCAATTCAATGTTCCGTTTACAACTTTACAAATATATTTATTGTAAAAAGCCTTCATACATTCACCGTTCGATCTCTCCTCGTCCATTTGTCTTTTCCTGTTCTTCAGGACCCCCCTTCCTCTATTCTATCCAATCGCTCACATGGACACTACAGCCCTTAGCCAATAAATTTGAGAATTAAAAACAGCTGGAAAAAAGTTTCAAGAAAACAGTCCCAGGACTGGAATCAACCTGCACTCCATTTCACTTTACATGCTACACAGGCCTCAAAATATCGGTCACTGCCACGTTTCCAAATTTGGTTCATGGCGACGAAGTTCAAGTTGAAGTTCCAAATTTCCGTGATTCTTTGGCTTTTTGGTGTTGGTTTATTGGGACTCGCGGACAGATAAATCCTATATATATTTTTCTGAAGGAATTGAACCATGAATAACAAGTCTGGCCAACATCAACTGAACTTGTACCCTATACGGTTATAATTCCATGTCATGCACGCAGTCAAGAAATATATTAGAATAATTATTACACTCTACAGTATAGATAAGCACATGAGTTATGCAATAATATAGCTACCACTGATCTATAGTTTTATAGTTCTATGCGGTTCGTTAGTTCTATCGTTCGACGCCCTTATGGTGCCGTTATTGGCAGGCAATGTTAATTTACATAACCGTCATTCGTAGTTTTTTTCCGAGCCAAAATTGACTGGCTACAGTATATGAAAAGAGTCCGTCAACGCTCTGCCGAAAGTCGTATATAGGTTTTCTCCGGGTAATCCAGTTTCCTCTCACAGGAAATGTTGATAGTGTCCAAGTATATACATAATTCTTGCACAAAGGTATTTCAAAAGTGAGATCTGGGTCATGAAGCTAATTTTTAGAATTCTTTCAATAATGCACAAATACAGATTACTAAAGATGTAGCTAGTACTAATTTAATTGGGTCATTTCTCTTCAATAGGTGTTGCTACACCGCCATCTCTTGTGAAACCGAAAGATACACATGCAGACATCGTTGCTAAAAGCAAAGTTCCAGTTGATATAGGCGCTGAAGTTGCTGTTCAAGGCAAAGGTCCAATTGATAGCTGTGTTGACGTAGCCGTTAAAAGCAAAGTTCTAGTCGATAGAGGCGCTGACGTTACTGTTCAAGGCAAAGGTCCAATTGATAGCTGTGTTGACGTAGCCGTTGAAAGCAAAGTTCCAGTTGATAGAGGCGCTGAAGTTGCTGTTCAAGGCAAAGGTCCAATTGATAGCTTTGTTGACGTAGCTGTTGAAAGCAAAGTTCCAGTCGCTCCAGGTGCTAGCGTTGTTGTTAACGGCAATGTTCCAAGTGATATAGGCCATGAATTTGCTTTTAAAAACGATGGTCTAATCGATAAAGATGCTGAAGTAGCTGTTAAAAGTCAGGTACGATTATGAATGCACACAATTTCCATATATACTGTAGCTTCCACGAAAAATCTATCAAATGTGGATTAAACGTTTCAAATTAGTCAACAGGGGCGAAACTAGCCCCTTTTAATTTGGGTGGGGGGGGACGGGTGTCTGCCAGAATTGCTCTGCAAAAGCCGAAGATGCCATGCAGCAAATTTTTATTTCTGGCCACTATTTTTTCCAAAAAAAGTTTCCGGACATAAACCAGTGAAATTAAGGGTCAAAAAATTTTCCCGTACAAATTCCTGTTAAAACATGTGTGAAACCCTTATTTTAGGACCAATATCTGTAAAGTGTAGGTCTATATATTCTATTCAATTCCCTCTGAAAGCCCTGTAAGGTTACTTAATAACTCTACATTCCATCATTTAAAATCTTTGTTTGCCCTGCGAATCTAGATGATTCGCCCTGCCAATCCAGATGATTCGTCCTTTGGGCCGGGGGAGAGGTGTCACACCATACCCCCCCTCAAGTTTCGCCCCTGTTAGTCAAATAAATTATACTAATTTGGGGGGAATACATGTGCAATAATTTGAAATACAGCCTTTTGATAATTGTGTCATTTGGCTTGGGAGCGTCGCTCTCGCGAGCATAGAAATAATATGATCGTGAGCCAATCAACTTACAGTACGTCACGCATATTTTTTGGTCTTGGAGCCCCGCTCTCATAAGTAAATTACGCAATTATCGTAACTTAACGGTATATTAGAGTATGGTCAAATCTATATGCCTTATTTCCTCTCTTATAAGTGCTGCAGATGTAGACCTAAGGCTAAGATGCCCCTTTAATTTATCAAAATTTGAGTTCAATAAATTCTTTATGAAAGTACAGCACTGAACGTTTCAGAGTGATCATGTTTTTGATCTTCACGTCCCCTGGCACAATCTCGACAAAATCAGTATCGTATGTCGCTATTTTTTCCTTATATGTCAAGGCCAATTTAACGCTGGCCATATCGCCTATTGGAAGTAACACTTCTTGTTTTCATTCAGAAACGTGCACGGCAACTTTGGCTGAATTATATAGTTCGTGGAAATAACGAATTTCAACATTTCCACGCCAAGAAAAAATGTGAAGGAAACTGCGAAAAGTGTACAAACGATTGTGAGTGTGAAACGTGTTTAAAGGTAAAATGGAGTTTTAATGTAACTAACTTCGTGTATACAAGGAACGAAATTACAAGTAATCGTTACTATTTTAAGTACAATATCTAGCAACGTTTCAGTTTGAAAGCATTGCTCAATTCCGTTTAAGATTTTTTTGTTAAAAATACTTTCCAGCTTTCTACAGTGTTCTACACTATACTCACTTATTTTCATCCAAATCGAACCAAAATTTATCGATTTGTTACTAGCAGCCCCACATAAATTTTTTGACGTTTGGTGAGCATCGGCGTGCACTCCTTGGCGATGATGCTAACCAGCCTGTTGCCAGACATTTTAATACTAGCAATCACAGTGTTCCTGATAGGGAAATTCGAGCCCTCTGTCCCATTTCTGGTATAGCAACGATAGCCGCAAAAGGCATGACTTGAACTTGGCACTGTTCACGTACCCCTATGGCATTAATGAACGTTTTCCCTATATAACTCTGTCTGTCTTTGCCTATCAAAAGCAGACATTGATATAGTATACTTTTAATTCTTACCTTATTTCATATATTTTATTGTAGTTTTCTGTATGTGATTTACATTTTTTATTTATACTTTGTTTTGACTAAATCCATCTGATTGGTTTATTTTTTGTCACGTGATGCTTTTATATTCTTAGTATAAAATGCTCATGTATTTTCCCGACCCCTGCTAGTAACACAGATGAAGGGCCTTCGCTCGAAACGTCGAAAATCTCCTTATATTTTTCAGGTATAGTTCACCTAGGTATTAGGTGAAAGCATTACATTATACAAATAATGAATGTTTTTATTCGTGCAATGGTAAGAATATTAGTTTCATGAGGTGAAAGATGGAATGTTCCATTCAACGAGGCGACAGCCGAGTTGAATGGAACATTCCATCTTTCACCGAATGAAAATATTCTTACTAAAGAAAATTCTTACTACATGAAATATTTTTACTAAAGAAAAATTTTGAATGGGCTACCCCATGAGTAAAGTGGGCCGTTATGAATTAAATATAACAATTTGTGCGTCTATACCAACAAAAGACAGTGCATAAAATAAACTTCGTAACAAACTAATTTTCTTTCAGGTTAAAAAGTTGGTCGATCACAAGAAACAACACAAGATCAAGGAAAATCCTGAAACAAATGCCTGTCGTGATTGCCAATTAGTTATTGGGATTAGGCATTATCACAAAAGAGTTTGTCCAATTGTTGACTGCTTATTTTGTAGGTAAGTACATATGGTATACCTTTTGGTCAACAGCTATAGTATAACCATAGAAACTATCAAACAGTTTAGTATGAAAATTTGTGGAGCGAATTAATAGCCCATTCGCTGTAGGCTTGCCTTGGCAAAAGCGTGGTCACATGGATTCCGGAACACCCCCCACTTTTTCTCAGGACCAATTTTGATTTTCGTCCAAAACTGAGAAGACAGCCGTCAGCCGGCCAAGACTCCTTTTATTTTTAATGGAACTGATCGAACAGATCTATTCGTTGTGCAATACAAAGAACGTTAAGAACTGATATAATATTAAAGAAAAGAGCATTTTTAGTAGAAGTGTACGAAGTATATCGGTAAGTTGATTTTTATTTGCTCTGTCTTCTTTAGATCAATTAAAGAAAATGAAAACGTTGACTTAACTCAAGCTTGCGCCAGTCCAGTTTCACAGGATGAAACAATCACTGACGTAATAACACAGGTATGTACAGTACTGATAATTGCGACTGTAGTTAATGGCATACAATACAATATAATATTTATATTGATACTTGATGGACGTTTGCTTAGACTTGTCCATTTGGCTGGAATTTCACGTTTGTTGACTGCCTTTCTTGCACATGTTGCGTCACAGCTCTTCCCCTCTGCTCGGTTAAGCCCCGCTCTCAAAAAACCTCCCTCAAAGTTTTTTTAACGTGTGGAGTTCTAACACCATTTATGAAAGTTCTAAAATTATAAATGTGCAAAACAGCAGTAACGAAGCTGCCGAAAATAGAATATGCATGGTTGTTTCCTTTCAAGTCCTCTAGAAAATTTAGAAATATATAGAACTGATAGAAAATATATTCTGGGGTATAGCTTTTAGCCTTATTTTTGAACATTGAATCAACGTCAGAAATGATCTCCCAGACGTTGGGTAGACGTTGAAAAAGGATTGAAAATGCAAATTGGATCGACGTTTATACTGTTTCGACGTTGAAACAACGTTGAGATCAGGTTGCCAATCTCGTCAACCATAATTCAACGTTGAATCTGCGTTGAAACAACGTTGAGATTACTTCACAAGTTGACGCCGTATATTCAACCATGAATGAACGTTGATTCGACGTCTGTTAGCTGCTGTTGAACCAGCGTTTGTAAAACAATGTCAGAGCAACGTTGATATTAGATTGTCGACGTCGCAACCTTTTTCTACCAAATTTCAACGTTGAAACAACGTTATGTGCCCGGTGGGATTGTTGTTTGGGTTTTTTTGGTGTTTTTTTTTTTGTTATAGCGGTGTCCCGAAACTGCGTAAAGAGTTCTAGGGTTACCTTATTGTCGAGTGTTATATCGTTATGTTACGGTGGTTAGGAACAGGGTTGTGATTTGGGTCAAAAATAAAGAAAAACGTATAACGATACTAAGGCCACATAAAATAATTACCTTGATTCTCATCACCGCCCGACTGTATTTTAAGCAACATGAGCTCCACCTTTGAATTTACTATATGAGTAAATTCTTAAACACGTCCGAATTTATCATTATGATAAATTCGCGGCAAATTTTGAACTTATCAACAGAGTTAATCATAAAACCACAATCACTGCACAAGGTTTCTTGTTATAAATGTAATGGCACTAAAAGGCAGGCTGGTCGCGCAGGGGTGGGGATTTTTTCATGTTTTTTAAAAAAATAGTTTTTAAAAAAGTTTTAAAAAGTTTTAAAAGAGTTTTGAAAAGCAAGAAAAGTTTAAAAAGTTAGATTTTTAAAAAAGTTAAAAAAATTTAAAAACTTAAAAAAATGAGGGTTAGGGGTTAGTGGTTTAGGGTTAGGGGTTAGGCCGTTAGGGGTTAGTGGTTAGGGTTGGGGTTAGGGTTAGTGTTAGGTGCCGCGAATTTATTATTATGATAAATTCAAAATTTGCCGCGAATTTATCATAATGATAAATTCGGACGTGTTTAAGAATTTACTCATATAGTAAATTCAAAGGTGGAGCTCATGCTGATTTTAAGAGACGCGTGAATTTTTTTTATATTTTGTTTATACAATATAAATGAACCGCCCGACAAAATATTTCAAGACAGTTAAGTTTTTTATATTTAAAATTGGGTTTTTAGTGCCATTTTAAACTGCCAATTTCAAACAAATAATAGAACCTTGAAAGAAATTTCATTGCATTTTAACGGAACTTCTCATTCAGTTGAACGGTTCAGTCATTGTTCGTGGAGAAATATGTTCATTTTGGTTTGTGACACTAGTACTTCACTTTGGAAATCACAGAAATATTAAATGTTAGGAATTATCAGTTTTTTTATTTATTGATGATAAATTATATAAATATAAAATATAAAATATAAACCTCCCGGCTCTTCGACATTTTGAAAGTATAGTGATGAGAATCAAGGAATTTATTTTATGTGGCCTAACAGACAACTTAGCCACAAATATTTTGTGCAACAAATTTCTATGCAGACAAGTTTTTGAAAAACAAGTTTTCTATGACTTGTTATAGAAAACTTGCTCGGTCTGTAGCCGGCTTATCATGGCTGCTGTTGAATGCGAGTGTACATGAGCTGCTGTTCTTTGTCGTCTTTTAGAGGCTGTTTAAGCCAATAAGACTCTAGTTCTTTTCAAAACTCTTGCGCGCGTCTTCAGAGGTTTGACAGTAACGGCAATAGTCAGCTTTCTTCAACCAGTACGAGTAAAAGATGTAGCGGTTTTACGTGTTGTGTTCCTGGAATCCTGGTTGTTTTACCAACAATAAAAGAGGTTGGGGGAGCTGGTAGCAACCTAAATAATGCAGGAAGGTTATTGGTGGAGATTATGTCATCCATAAAGGGGAACAAACTCATTCATCGCGAGTCAGATTTTGCTATATCACTATGAGGCTATGAGAAATTACTATAGAATATTATCTTTTTAGTAATATTACTACTATTACTAGAATTACTGTTGAGTTATTTCATATATTAATAATTAAGTCGTAATTTACTGATTTAGATCACAGAAGGAACTAAGCTGAAGATCGGAGAGAAGTTCATTCAAGGAGTACATTACCAGCTCGAAGACAAGTTAGGACAGGGTGGTAATGGTGTGGTCTTTGGTGTTGAGCTTCTTGAAGCTGGATGTGCGAAATTGGGTTCTAAACGTGACATTCGCCTGGCGGCAAAAAGAGTAAGAATACCTCACTATTCACTAACTTCACTGTCAAATTATCGAACTACAGTGTGTATATAAAAAAAAGGTAATCGAACTTCAGCGCGCTATTGTGCGTGAATTACTCGGCGTATGAACAACATTTTTTTCATATTTGGAAAGCTCCGGCTTTTAGCTATTGAATGACATGTTCTTCATGCCGAGTGAATGGAAATAAGCAAGTATATGAGTCCGATAAAAAATGTTAGTCATTTGAGATCAACTGTAAGCTGTTCGAAGTAGGACAATTGGTGCATTAAAAATGGGGAATGAATTGACGAAACACCTGTCGAAACCTTCGGAAACTTGTAGAACGTACCTTCAAATGCGAATTGAAGTTTCCCGGGAGTTCGCGGTTACTGCATGGTCTGCCGTAAACGTCAATCTTAACTTCTCTATTATGGAGGCTTGGGTACATTGGGTGTTTCTAACAAAATTTTCCTATCTGTTATTACCGAGATTCACGTTCAGCGTGATCATGAGACGAGGACGTATTGAGTTTACTGATTGTGAATAAAGCCAGGCGCACACTGTACGATTTGCATCGACCGACTTCATTCCGTTTTTCTGCCGAATTTATAGTCTGTATATGCCCTCATAGAGAGCCCTCATGATCTCCAATCTTCTTCGCCCTATCTCCGCGATCACAATTAGGATTATATCAGCGGTTGACTTTGCAACTCAATATTCAAACAGATAAAACAGATTATTAAAACTTTTTTATTAAAGCACTTTAGATTTTATACCGATCCCAAATCCTAACTGGCCTAACTTTTAAGACATGTCCGTCAGTCGTCGCCCGCTTACGTATTTATGCGACACGGTAAATTCAAGATTATTTATGCATGCACGTTATCATCTAAGATTATCCAATCAATGACAATGAACGACGGAATGGACCATGGAAAAAATCGACCGATAAGAGTCGTCAGATAATAAATACATCTTGCTGATTGGATTCTTCTGAGGGTAGCCTCTTCTGAGCCCAATATGGCAAAAATATTAGGTCGAGACTTCAATACGGAGCTTTAGATTTGACTACGAGTACGAGTACGAGATTTGATCGCGTGCTAGGAAATTAAAATTCCATTTAAATTTTGCTTTTATAGCAGTAAACCAACAACGAGAGAAAAAGTTTCATAAACTAAATCTCCTGCAGACTAAAATCCCCTAGAAAATGTGTAAATAGTCATAACATTAAAAACAGGCCAGATATTTAGTACTAATATATTATTTGCGGCGGATAAACGCTATATAAATGCTACAAATTATTTTTGGAAAACAAAAAAAAGCCAACTTTCTTTGTTTTTTTTTGAAAAGTCGTGGTGAGGACTACGAGATTTCTCCACAATTTCGTACTCAGATGGGCGACGGCTACGACTTTTTCGCGTCAGTACGGGATGGCGTAAGCATACAGCATGCGTTTCACTTGACGAATCTCGTACTCGTAGTCGTACTCGTAGTCAAATCTAAAACCGAAGGTCGGGCCCAATATTGAAGTCGAGACTTAATATTTTGCCATATTGGGAGAAGATGAATTAGATAAGAGTTTTATTATATCAAACAAAACGATTTTATAACAAAAATTGTCAATAAGCGATAAAGTAAACATGCAGCAAGAATAATATATACAGCGACAACATTATATCTTATTGGATTCTTCTGAGCCCAATATGGCAAAATATTAAGTCGAGACTTCAATATTGGGCGAGACCGAAGGTCGAGCCTAATATTGAAGTCAAGACTTAATATTTTGCCATTTTGGGCGAAGATGAATCCAATAGGAGTTTTATTATATCGAACAAAACAATTCTATAATAAAATGTCAATTAATAAGCGATAAAGTAAATACAGCGAGACTAATACGTAGCGACAACATTACATATATTGGCGACGATGTTTGATGCGAAAGTTGTTTTTACTGATATGTGTGCATAAATAAACTCAATTCCATGTATGTTTAAAGGAAATTTGACCTAATTTTAACGAAAAAAATAATATTACTAACTTCTAGGCTGTTCCAAACAAATAAATTTCGCGAAGACAAGTTTTCCCGCGCTTTTATAATTTTAAACAAAACTGGTAGAAAAAACTGCATTAATGTTCTAAATTCTTTTCATTATTCTGCCATATCGTTTGTCGTATGTTTGAAATTGACAAAATATCTGAAAAGGGTTGAAAAGCCATGAAAAAAAGCCACAATTCGCAACTGCCCAATAGGTTCCTGTCCAATATCGTAAAATATTGGATCGGCACGTGACCCTCTCAACGATTACTGATTGGTTAAATGCGCGTGAGTGTATAATAATATTACATATATCGGCGGCGAATTTGCTGAAATAACTAAACAAAAAGTTAATAAATAAACTCAATAATTCCATATATGTAAGTTTAAAGGAAATTTGACCTAATTTAAACGAAACAAATAATATTACTAACCTTGCAAACAAATTAATTTCGCGACGACAAATTTCCCCCCGCTTTTATAATTTTGAACAAAACTGGTAGAAAAAACTGTATTAACGTCCCAAATTCTTTTCATTACTCTGCCATATCGCTTGTCGTATGTTTGAAGTTGACAAAACATCTGAAAAGGGTTGCGAAACCATGAAAAAAAGCCACGATTCGCAACTGTCCAAAGTGTTCCTGTCCAATATTAAACAATTATTGGATGAGGCTGAGCATGATATCAAGAATAATTCAGACCGAGATCATGCAATGTTATCTGCCGAAGCGAAACTGAGGCGAATAACATTGACCGAGATCTGAATAATTCTTGATGTCATGCGAAAGCCGAATCCAATAATTGTTTTATTATTATACATTTAAAAAAATCAGGAACGTATAAAACGATAAAACGAAGTTTATTAATGTTTCAAGTATATTACAACAATACTGCAATAAAGTAGAAAACGAACATTTCTTTTAGACTTTTATAGTATTTTCAACTTCACTAAAATTTCACACAACTATAGTTACGGTATATTAAACAATCAATACTGTTACTGCATGTCTTTATCTGCTAATAATTTTGACAGGTTGTTTTCATCGAACGAAGCAAATCTACTGTGTCTGTGAGCCATTTTGTTTATTTTATCTTCGCGCGCTTTTGGGTTTGAGTTGTTGGCCGCGCCATGGCTTGGGCACGACAGCGTCCAATAATTTTTTTTGGATGCAAGGTCGATCCAATAATTAACAATTATTGGATGAGGTTTTTGTGATATGTGGAATTATCAAGGTCGAGGTAAGCGTAACGCTTACCGAGACCTTGATAATTTTGCATATCGCAAAAACCGAATTCAATAATTGTTTTATTATACATTTGTTTGTGTTACAGTCAAAATACAAGAACCTTCCCGCTTCTGTAACTTGTTTTGTATTTATTTGTTCTATTTTCTGTAGCGATTACCGCTTTATCGGCACATATCGCGTTAGGATCCGGTAGAATTTCGCTTTCCTTCCTTTATATACGTCAATTTGTAGCAATGGATGCACCTTTCGTTAGATTCTTTGCATAAAAGTTGCGAAACTTAGATCTTATAGCGATATTTGTTGATAAATCGGTTTTAAACCGCCGCCTAGTGTGTTCATACTATACAAATTTAAAATTACCGAATACAATCACTTGACGTACTAAAATGAAAATTTCACAACTTTTATGCAAAGAATCTAACGAAAAGTGTATCCTTTGCTACAAATTGACGTATATAAAGGAAAGAAAGGGGAATTCTACCGCGATATTTGCCGATAAAAAAACGCTATAGAAAATAGAACAAATTACAGAAATACAAAACAAGTTACAGAAGCGGAAGTGGGAATGTTCTGGAATGTTCTTGCATTTTGACTGTAAATAGATACCGCTTGCTAATCATCGCAGGCTCACTTGCAGATAACTGAGTTATCTGCTAGCAGATAACTGAATTTTCTGTAGGTTGCGTGATTGCGCGATTTAACTGTAAGCTCTTAGCCAATCAAATTGCTTTTACCAACTACAATGTATAATAAAAACTATTATTGGACGCTGAGCACGTCAGCAGCTGAAATTATGTAATAAGTACCGAATATTGAGAATTATCCGGTGCTTTATGACCAGTCAGGAACGAGAATACATACTAAATGTATAAGTAATATCAAATAATTTTCGTCTTGTCCGATTAAATGACACCATGCACACAAGAATTTTTGATTAACGAACTGATTGATTTTTTATTTCTTTCGTAGGCTAATGTCAGCGACAGTGAGATAATGGTATCAAAACAGCTTGCCGATGTCTCCAACGTAGCTCCACACTATTTCGTTGTGAACAAACATGAACACATACACTGGGTTAACAAACGAACCAGAAAGGTTGAACGCAAAGTGTTTGAACATCTCTTGTTCATGCAACGCGCAGGTAACCTACATTACGATTACGATTCACATTTCTACAGTGTGTATAAAAAAGTATAGCCTTTCAAATTTAAACCAAGCATAGCGCCGTATTCTATTGAACTCATCTAACAAGCTGTCAAGCTATATGCATGCAGGGTGTCCCCAAAAAAGTACCTTCTACAGTATAGAAATAACGTATTGTTAGATTTTGAATGCCCCAGTCTTTGCTGAACTCACAAGTGCATAAAAGCTTGACATAAGTAAATTTTATGCATAACGACATTGTTTAAGAGGCTGCTTTAAATTCCCAAGAGCAGAAAATCGCGTGCTTTACAAAGATATTTTAATTTCTTTGAGTAAGTCAATATTTATAATATATGCACCCTGCCAATATTTTACGCATCTTTGCGTTCATCTTGGTGCTAAGGCATTCAAATTCTAACAATACGTTATTTCTATACAGGGTGTCCCAAAAAAGTACCCTCTGTAGAAATTATCCTATTATAATTTGAATGGCTGAGCGCTATGCTGAACACAAGAGTGCGTATAAACACAATTGAATTGAATTTTTAATTACCAGGGGCCGGTTGTATAAAAACGTAATTAGCGCTAACTGTAGTTAGCGCTAACTACGTTTTTATACAACCGGCCCCAGGCGCATGAAATCCTGTGCTTAACAACAATAGGATGACTTCTATAGAGGGTACTTTTTTGGGACACACTGTACAGTGTGTATAAAAAAAAAACTGAACCCTTTCAAATTCAAATTATTTTCGTAATTTGATAGCTCTAATTGCTTTGAATTAATGGTTGGGTAAGGACGCAAGGTCTTGTACTCATGGGACGAAACTCAAAGAAATAAAAATTAGAAAATTTAAAAGTTTTTAAGAGTTTTGTCCCATGAGTACAAGACCTTGTGTTCTTACCCAACCAATTAATTCAAAGCAATTAGAGCTGTCAAATTACTACAATACGTATAGCTAATTTGAATTTGAAAGGGTTCAGGTTTTTTTTATACACCCTGTATAGTATTACGTTTTTTCTAATTATAGTTACTTAGGGAAGCCTTCGTGTAGAGCGGTGCGGTTAACCGAAAAATTCGGTTCTTCCGTTACTTTTTTCGCACCGAAAAATTATACGCAAAAGAACCGGTAGTGTCGGTTTAATTTCCCGTTTAACGCCCGCCAAACGCCCACCTGATTGCAGGTTGAAATGTTTGGAAAATAACAAGATTGTTCTCTTTGCGCACAATATGCACTGTTGATATTTAGTTGTGATAGTTATTGACTTATTGTTGTGATAGTTATTGTTGTTTCCAATTGTTCTTTTAAAATATTCAGAGATTTATACAAACTTACAAAGGCATAAATTGATCTATTTAGTAAAAATGCTCGAAACATACATAAGTGAGTTCATACATTTGTACTGTTCTTCTTTTTTGAAAATAATCGAAACCGAACCGAACCGAGGTTTTGCTGTTCCAAAAAACTGGGAACCGAGATAAAATTTTTGGAACCGCACAGCTCTAGAAGCCTCGCATATTGATTTTGTCAATTCGTCCATGAGAAACGTCATATGGACGTTTCTCTGGAGCCCCCAATTTTCTACTATTGAATTTAACCGGGAGACTTATTCCAGCCGCACCCGATCCGATGGTAGTCGTTCGACTATGGTTTAGATGCATGATAAATCGTCGAAAGCACTGCATGGATACTGGGCTATTGATAATGACCGATAATGAAATATTGACAATTTTACCGGGGTTTTCTTGAAATTTGTGTGTTTTCAATGCAAGGAAAGCGTAATAATATAAATGTATAGAACATGTATGGTATTACGAATGTATAACTGGTGTTTGTATCAAGTTGTTTTCTTTTTTATATTCTGCAAAGATGATTCTGAAATGTTTACAAGGCTTTCGAAATAACTATGATGTTTTACAGAGAAACGTCACAGCTGCAACGCCCCCACATACACACACACACACATACCCAAACGTCCATATATGATGTTTCTCGTGGATGAAATCGATATGCGAGACTTCCTTTAGCCTAGACTGTTTTACCTTTACAACAATTGTGATCATTACTTTATTAATAATATAGGCTACATAAAAATGTCATTCGACTGTGATTGGTTGATTTCAGTGCAGTTAATCTCAAACAGCAGTGTAAAATTCTGGCTTTTGGGAAGGGTCTTTTATTCACTGTTTTTAACATGCTCAGACTCCATCTCTGTATCTTTGTACTCAGTATCTGGAGTATCTCATCTCTTGTATTTCTATTTCTAGAAATGTCGTTGAAGGATTACTTAAAAAAGTTGCCAGGTTTTGTACTTCCCGTAAAAGACGCCTCCATCTACTTTCGGCAAATTGTACAAGCCATTAAATATGCCCATTCACAGACACAGAGCATTACTCACAATGATATCAAAGCTGGAAATGTGCTCATGTTTCGTGGTACTGGCGAAAGTTTATACGTTGCACATTTGTGCGATTTTGAATTTGCAATAAGAAATGGTGATGCACCTGAACGGCGTGGCGGGACGAAATTTTTTATGCCGCCAGAGGTATGTATGTCGTAAAACAGTTATTGTATAGCAAGTAAGAGATTGCTGACGTATGGTATTTTCGCACGCGTTTGTTTTCTCGTAAATCATTTCTCCAAACACGCGTGCTGATTTTTCATTAATATACTTCTCGAACTATGTGATTTCCTATCTAAAAACATAGGTCCGCTGTGGCGGACACATCTACTGAATAGTGGCACCGGGAAATAAAAGGTATTTAGTAGATAGAAGCATAAATGTGCACTCTGACCTTTGGAATCGATTTCTGGCATTTCCAGAGTCATAGCACAAACGTGGCATTGTTGACGTTTTAAAATTGTATTTCCGGTTGAGATTAGCTCATATAAAAATTTCCATTTCTGGCCCAACTGTACCGTGATAAAACTAAAAGATACAAATTTGAAGATACAAGCTCGAAAATATAAACACTCCACACAGTGTTATTGATAATGATTCGAACAAGAATATTGCAATGAAGAATGTACGTCCAAAGGGGCCGAAGTTATGTTCGGCGAAAGGTTTATATTTTTGATCAGACAATTGCGTAATTTGATAATATACGATCTCGAGTGACTTTCAAAGGCCATAAATCGCTACAATGTTGATAATGACTAAAACTATTGTGAGAATTAGTTGATATTGTTTCACTGAATCGAATGGTGGTATTTTACAATATGTCTTCATAGGCATAGCATGCACTGAACCGAAGATATGAACATACAAAGTCGTCGAGGAAGAGTTCAGGCAATTGCGTAATTTTATAATATACGATCTATTTCTCGCTTGACCATAAATCGCTACAATGTTGATAATGACCAAAACTATTGCACTGAACCGAAGATATGAACATACAAAGTCGTCATCCTCTCGCATGATAATAGCTACTTGCGACTTGGTCGAGAAAGAGTTCAGACAATTGTGTAATTTGATCATATATGATCTCGCTTGACTATAAAGGCCATAAGCCCATAAGTCGCTAGACTCGCTACAATGTTGATTTGTGCACTGCCACTGAACCGAAGATATAAACATACAAAGTCGTCATCCTCTCGATTGTGCACTGCCACTGAACCGAAGATATGAACACAAAGTCGTCATCCTCTCGATTGTGCACTGCCACTGAACCGAATATATGAACACACGAAGTCGCCATCCTCTTGTGCATGATATAAATACTTGCGACTTGGCCGTCTGGAATGGTCGAGAAAGAGTTTAGACAATTGCGTAATTTGATCTGCCACTGAACCGAAGATATGAATACACAAAATCGTCATCCTCTCGCGCAGTTATACGGCATTCTTCGTATTGTACTCGTGTTATTGACAAAACTATTTTATTGTACTCGTGGTTGACTCGTGTTATTGGCAAAACCATTTATGGACAACAGTGGAACTAACCGTAGATAACCGACTTTAGCTCGCAATTTCTATGCTCGCAATGCATTACATCGATACGTCATCAATACATCATCACCTGTCTGTTCCCGACATCCACGGACGTAGGCCCCGGCAATGCTTCTACTGATTGAAAATCAGTAGATGAAAAAAACAAACACTATAATATTTTGTGCACTTAAGTTGGATAAGATTCGCGACCAATCCCCGTTGACTCGAGAACTCAATGGGTAGAGCCGCAGTCTAGATACCGAGGATGCAAGTTCGAATCCAGCTCGAGACAACGAATTTTTCATTCTGGCATATGAAAATTAGTGCGGACGCCACAATTCGTCTTCATTCCATTCATGGCAGAATTTCTTTAGGCGCGGTTACCCGATTACATACGCCTGCATGAATAAGAATCGTACACGACTAATCGTGTTGTGTAGACCTCTGTGGCCGGTTGTATAAAAAAAGTGATTAAAGATAACTACAGTTAGTGGAAACGTCATCCAATATGAAGCGCGTACTGTATTTGAGAGTTAATAACTATTTAACTACAAAATAGTGATTAAAAAGTGATTAAGAGTTTTGTACAACCTGCCCCTGCCATTAGTCAGAGTTGGATTGTTCGTCAACTGCGGGCTATACGCTCATTATTTAATTAACATTAGGGAGTTTATGATGTACGACGCGGTCAGCTCGACGACGTCGAGTCAAATTATGCTTGAAATAAGCCACAGGAATTTAACTATACTGCTTTAATTGTCATGTTTTAATAATCTTACAAATGTTTAAATTGGCCTAAACTACTCCGATGTTTAGCTGATGTTGCCATTCTGTCAACGTTATAAAACAGCTCCCGTGTCGCAACGAGCTTTGATATCGCTAGGAAGAGGTGAAAATTACTCGTTTGACGGTGTCCCAAGAATGCCAACGCTGTTGACAAAACATTTGAATCTACAAATTGTTCATCTTTTTGTCTCGCATGACGTGTTTCTTTGTCTTGCAAGCGCGTCGTCGAGCTGGCCGCGTCGTGAATCGTAAACTCTCTAATTATTCGCCGAAGGCGAGGTGTTAATTTTTTTGCCTGCAAGAAATTTTGCCCGAAAGGCGATGCCTGCGGAGGAGGCTAGGCGAGGTGATTATTGGTGAATAATCACCTCAACGGCAACCAATCAGAGTGGAGAGTTTTCACTAATCACCTATGTAATTATACTCACTAATAACAATTTGAACTATTCTTAACAATTTGAACTATTCTTGATCATTATTCTCCACAATGATATACTATATTGTATAAGTTCTCAGTCTAAAAGTTCTAGTTCGTTTAAAAGGGGGTTGGGTAAATTTTTATATACATTATGTACTTTTAATGCATACTTCTAGCTTTTTCTCCGTATTGTGTAGCACTCATGCTTGTAACTTGCACCTGTATATATTCTTCATATTTTGTAACTGCTTATTTTAGTCGAACGGCCTCTTGAAAAACAGGTGCGTATGTGCCCTGAAGAGCTACCGTTTTTAAATAACATTAAATAATAATAATAATAATAATAATAATAATAATAATAATAATAATAATAATAATAATAATAATAATAATAATAATAATAATAATAGTATTAAGGTTGAGCATGATACGAAGAATTATCAAGCCAGCTGTTTGTGCATGTTATCAACCAAAGGCTGAGGTTTATAACACTAATTGGGACTTGATAATAGCCTACTTCATATCTTGCGAAAACCGAATTCAATAATTGTTTTATTGTTTTATTTAAAACTAAAAAAGACATCTGCACCCGTGGGTTCAATTTGTCGAAATAATGAACAGTTCTTTTTCCCAATCTTGTTCTTGTGCTGGTTAGGGGGCGACGCTCTTCGACAAAAGTTAGCCTAAAGCTCCTTCATTTTGAGCCCAATCGTCATGAAATTTGGCAGGGATCATTTCAAACGATATTTCTCATGGATTGACGGTGTCCAATTTTTTATTTTCGATTCAGGGGCAACGTACAAGAAATTATCAATCAAACTTTATTTACCCACGGTACTATTTCACAAAGACAAAAACTAAAATATTTACAAGATGTGATCTTCCAATAGGCCGTGCTATACATGTATGAATAATTACATGCAATTATAAAAATATTTTATTAAGTTAATACAATAAAATCGAAGAGAAAAAGAAAAAAAGATAAATTGATTATCAAGAATTATTACCACTATTTGACACTAGAGCCCTTTTGAAGGTTGACAATGAACCCATATTTTTTATATTAGGTAATAAATCATTCCAAGCTACAGCTCCTCTGTACAAGAATGATTTTTTATAAAAGTTGGTACTTGGCCTCGGGAGTGCAAAGTTAAATTCAGCCTGCCTAGTTTGATGATTATGAAGTGTACTGGTTTTCGTGAATAAAATTGTTTGTACGCGTAGAATAATAATAATATGCATATCGTTAATATTCACAGACAAACCTTACCATAACAAAGACCAATCTCGTTCCCCGAGCATGCCCGTTCGCAGGTTAAGGGTGGGCATAGCTCTGCAGAAATCGAATTGATTCAGGCCTGTGATTGGCTAACGGCAGATAGTACGTTGGATTTCCAACGTGAGTTCTACGCATGCTTGGCAATTGTTGCAAAATATAAACGAAGTATTTGGAATTTCTCGTCGAAAATTTGCTACTTTTTTACACTGAAATCGTACATATATAATCGTACATATAATCGTATATATAGTACTTGATATTTTATACTGTCATACTTAACACTACGTATACCATAAATTCTGTCAGGACAGTTAAATGTAAATTTTAAAGCATAAAAATATATAATACTCATTCTTGAGGAGATTTATCAGTAAAGGTGAAGTACGATGTATATAAACACTAACAGTACAAGTGACAAGTCGAAGCGCCTTCCCTCGAAACGACGAAGCTCTCCTTGTATTTTTCAGGTAGTTGTATCCCTATCAATCCGAAGCTTTCGTACATATTTCCTCATAATTTTTAGTTGTTTTCAGTGTAAAAAGTATCAAATTTTCGACGAGAAATTCTAAATACTTTATTTATATTTTGCAACAACTGCTGAGCATGCGTAGAACTCACGTTGGAAATTCAACGTGAATCAATTCGATTTCTCCAGAGCTATGCCCACCCTTAACCTGCGAACGGGCATGCTCGGGGAACGAGATTGAACAAAGACAGTCATCATGGACCACCGACTAACATTAATTTTGATTAAATTGTTAATAATAATTTTATTATACAGGGTGTATAAAAAAAAACTGAACAGATTTGAAATTGCTCTCAATTTCCCAAAACAGCTATTAGTATCCAGTTTTTTGTATATAGCTTCTTTGGGTACTTATAATAGAATGATGAAAAAAATTACTCGAACTCAAATTTTGTGAACCAGGGGGGGGGGGTGTCTTTTCCAACAAACTAAAAATGGCTTGCGCACAAAATGTAAAAGCTTTAATCATATTTTGAGTTAATATATGGAACATTTGTTGGGTTTTTAATTACTGTACAAAATTTCAGACAATTTGCTTTAGTTTAAGCCCTTTCGTAACTATTCACGCAAACTTACATTTTTTCCTAAAAATCAGCTATTTGCATGCTAATCAATGCCTTTGCCTAATTTGCATACATTGCATGTCAGCAATGTTTTGTATTGTAGAGAGTGAGATACTGAAAATTACACAATGAGATATTTTCCATATCTTCACTAGTGAAGATCAATGCTACAGAATTTACCAACACAAATCAATCTGAACTTTTTCGGAAAAACTCTTAAACCAGTTTCAGTTGCCAAAGACTTGGGGATGCACCTTGATTTACATCTCTCCTATGATGACCATATTTCTAAACTGTCGTCAATGTGCATAAACAAATTATGTCAAATTAGTCGATTAAAGAAGAGCTTTGATAAAAAAAACTTTAATATTACTTCTTGAAGCTTTGGTGATTAACAAGTTGTTATATAGTTCTTCGGTGTGGACTAATACCTCATCGAAAAATCTAAAGAAATTGCAAACAATCCAGAACTTAGCATGCCGAATCATCACAAGTATTAAAAAGTTTGACCATGTAACACCAGGTCATCAAGAACTTAACTGGCTATCTATTGAAAACTTACTTATTTACAAAGACACAATAATGACTTATAAATGTCTGAACAACCTTGCGCCAAGTTACCTTGCAAATAAATTCACAAAGCGATCTGATATTCATAATTGCCAGACTAGAAATAACTACTGTTTAAATATTCCAAGCTATAAAACTACTGCAGGGCAAAGAACATTCATTATCGCGCAGTTAAGATATGGAACGATATTGATGATGAACTGAAAAAGATTCCAGAACTCAAGGTTTTTAAGAAAAAACTAAAAGAACACCTTTTAAATTCTTAGTATCATATATATGAAGGTTTAATAGACAATCGTAACTTAGATTTTGAATAGTATAGTATTGCTTTATCTTAAATTGCATATTGTAATTGTATGCTGAAAAGCCCTTTGGGGAACATACAAAGTTTTTAATAATAATAATAGTAATAATAATCACGTGACGTTTTCCAATTTGCTTTTGAGCGTGAAATTTCGCAATTTTTGCTTGGGACTATAATAATAATAAACAGATCATTACCCGGTGGCTTGAAGATATGATTTTTATCTTCTCGTGTTTAAATCGAAGATAAAAGTCATATCTTCGCGCCGCCGTGTAATATCTTCTATATATTGTTATCCTAACGAGTTTCACAGCCATCTTTCCTTCGATTGGCTGTGTTACAAAGGGCCTGTTTCAAACGTCGTGCTGCTCATGTGCCGAATGCATTAGAAACGTACAATAGATAATAATAGCATATCAGCTGATTATCTATTGTTCTTAATGCGTTCGGCACTTGAAAAGCGCGACGTTTGAAATAGGCCTAAGGGACTGCTCATTATTTATTGTACAGGGGGGGGACTGAGGAGAAACTGTACAGTTATAATATTTTTTCGTTGCCTTCCTCCTAAAACAAGTAACATTTTTAAAGCCCCCCACCAACAGGCAAAACAAGAACATGAATTATTGTGCCCCCCCCCCCGACTCTAGCTTTTTATTTAGAGAAACAAAAATAGAAAATGGGGAATTAACAATTCCCATTATAGACTATTTTTTTATCTTAGCAAAAAAAGTGTTTTCTCTGGAAGAGCATACTAAAACGAGTAAAATAGCAAAGTTTGGTTGCAAAATGTTGTAAAATGTGGAAAATATAGCCTTCCAAAGTTTGCACATTTTGTATACTTTTGTATTATATAGCAATTTCCGCATGCAATACAAAATTTGCAAGGCCATATTTTCCGGATTTTACAACATTTTGTATTTAGTATGCTCTTTCTAGCTGTGGTGATTTATTTGCATCTCTATGCCTAGTTTCAAAATTAGTCCATAATGGGAATTGTCTATTTACCTGCATGAACATGAGAGACTATTTATTTGGCTCCATTTATGAATAGTAATTTGTTTTGTGATACATTTTTAAAACTAGTAAATATTTTCAAAGCCCCTTTTCTTTCGTCTCTCTGTATTTTGCAAAGCCCCTCCCCCTTTCAGGTTTAAAAAAATTTAAAGTTTGAGTTCTAAAACAAAGTTCTCAAAAGTTTGAGTTCTAAAACGATGGATCAACGCGGTGACCAGTTCCTGGTCCCAATGTACGATCGTACTTGTTGATTTGGGTGCAGGCAACATATTAAGCATTTTACTGGATCTATTATTAAACATTTTTTTCTTGTGTTATAGCGTGAAGATGGGCCAGGTAGAGATATCCATGCGCTGGGAATCTTTTTTCTGGAACTTACTATTGGTTTCAGCAATTGTCCTCTGCATAAGGTATAACAAATGTCCTCTGCATAAGGTATAATTGACGATTCGCTGAGTCGTACATGCATGAGCTGATAGCCGACGAGTTGCGTATAGCACAGAGTCGGCTATATCAGCCATATACGATGAGAGTGAATGGTATAATTGTTTTATTATAGTGTAACAGCCATTAGCTGCTGCAATAATATAAACATTCTTCTCTGTTGTAAATAATTTGTAATGTTTTGACACTCAGTTTGTTCGCCCGAAATCGACGTCGTTAATTAACTGTACTTGGACTAAAAATTCGAAATGTTTTTGTTTTAACTCGAGGTGAAATAAATGCATTGTTTTAGAACCGGTATATCTCACAGAAAAGTTGAGATACTCTATTTTATACAGATGTTTGGTCACTGTAAAAACAGATTGGTTAACATGACCAATTTAAATTGGTTGTCTCAGATGCATTAGTTTAACCATTTTTTATTGATTAAAACAACCAACAAATTGGATAAACAACTCAAAGAAATGATTAAAACAACCAATATTTTGGTTCTTTTAAGCAAATAAAAGTTGGCTATTTCAACCAATATGTTTTACAGTGTAGTATTTATAGTAAGTGCTTGTTGACTGCGCATTCATTTGTTTTTCGTTGCGACTTTTTCTGAATAATTTATATTTATTCTCAATGAATATGTATATTTTTCTTTGATGTTTCGGTATTTATTCGTTAAAAACAACTTGTATTTAAACCTGTTTCTCATAATATATGAATATTTCTAACCTGTCAAACGTTTTTGAGAGTTTTTCTTGCACTATTATCTTAAGTTTCTTGAAGCGAATATTTTCCTTTTTCTGCTTCGTGTTATGTTTAAGTTGATTTAGTTAGCCTTTCTCACGCCGCCATTTTTGGGGTACCGCCTTTTCCAAATCTGAGATTGTATAGCTATAATTGTGAGTATAATCATTATAAGTTAATTTACAGTTAAATATTTGAAAACATGTCTTCACATCGCTTAGGCCTGTTTTATACGTCGAATTTTGGTCACGTCGAATGCATGCAATTAAAACAATAGTTAATGAATAAAAGAAAGAATGAAAGAAAGAAAGAATGAAAGAAAAAAAGAAAGTTTTGAAGTAATAAATTTACGTGTTGTTTCCAGAAACAAAACTATTATATTTTATCACCATGCAAACATACAAAGAACTTATACCGTATTTACTCGATTGAGCGCCGCCCCCGATTAAGCGCCGCCCCCAAATGAGCGCCGCATTTGAGATCATTTTTTTTAAAGAGCGCCGCCTCCGAATGACGCCGCATTAAACAGTGTAATAATTTTCCGCCGTCAAAAGGGGGACATTTTGTGACAAAGACATTTAGCCGACCCCGATTGAACGCCGCCCTCGAATGAGCGCCGCATCTGAAGCTCTGAAAATTTAAAGAGCGCCGCGACGCTCAAACGAGTAAATACGGTATGGCCAGGGTAAAACATCGAACTTTTCATGTGCCGAACCTAATGTTAATGAGCTAAGTTCTTCGTTTCACTTCATTTGCATTAAGTTCGGCACATGAAAAGTTCGACGTTTGACCGTGGCCTAACTTGCATTGCGCCATAATGCACCCTATTTTATTACAGACTTTACTCCGTCTAACGGCAGACGATTTTTTACTCATCAAGTGGAGAGCGCCGGCACTCAACGGTTAAATTTTCAAAAACAATCGATATGTATTGTACCCATTGGAATGAATGGGTACAATACATATTGATTGTTTACAGTAATTATTTACTGAGTGCAATAACGATAATTACAGTCTAAGAAGTAATAACACCAAATTGGCACTCCCAAAACCAAGGACTAATTTCTTAAAAAGAAGCTTCTCATATAGAGCGGCAAAGTCCTGGAACGAATTATCTAATGATATAACTGAAGATTTCTGTGAGCTATCAGTTAAAGCTTTCAAACGGCGACTTGATAAAACCGCTTAATTGGTTGGATCATTTGATTATAGATTAATTATACCTTAATTTAGTATTGTATCATAGTAAATAGGATTTCGTTTTTATTACACGGCCCTTTGAAAATCAGTACCTGTTGTAAATATAAAGTTATTTTTTAATAGTTACTTAATAGGCTACCGTGTGTGAAGATTTTGATTATTATAATAATAATAATAATAATATAACTAGAACGCATGCTCACGTCACGCGTGTTTATATCATGATTGACTGATTGAGCGCCCTTCGCATGCGTGAAAAGACTGGGACTAGCCTTCAAGTTTGGCTTCAAGTCTGAAAAACACAACCTACCTCCAAAACGTCCAAGAAAACCTATACCCACTGAAAGAAAATAATAGTAAACGTTGTGTAAGCGAACAAGATACATTTCCATCAAAACCTGTCCACAAGACGCCACTGAAAAACACAACCTACCTGCAATACGTCCCCGAAGACTTATACTCGCTGAAAGAAAATAATAGTAAACCCTGTGTAAGCGAAATAGATTTCCATCAAAACCTGTCCACAAGACGGTATCAAGTGAGAAACACAATATACCTCCAGATCCTCCAAGAAGACTTTTATTCGCTGAAAAAAAATAATAAATGTGGCTTCACAACACTTTTTATCACGTGTGTCAGATATTGGGATCCGAGGTAACTGCATTACTAGCCTGCGTGGCTGGCGGTATTTCTACAGGCAGCGAAAATTAGTGAGGCAAAGGAAATACCGTCTCCCGCAAGACTAGGGGTTTTTGAACGGGTTTGGTTAAAATGCGGAAGCGGATGCGTTACGGAACGGATGCTGAACGGAACGGATGGGGTTAGAGTGCGGAACGGAACAAATATGGGGTTAAAATGCGGAACGGAACGGTTATGGGGTTAAAATGCAGAACGGATTTGGGGTTAAAACGCGGAACGGAACGGATTTGGGATAAAATGCGTCATTTTAAACTTTACCAAAAATTTTAACAACAAATTGAGTTTTTTCCACCTCTTTTTTAACGTTTCTGTGTTTTCGATTTATGTTTTTTTGCCATGGAATGCAGCGTCGTAGTGCTTATTATTCCTAACATATCTTATACAACTATTTTAATTAAACTTATGACTGAGACAATAGTCAAATGTGCAATATGAGCGTTAAAAGGTTGATGGGAATAATGGTATTAAATAAGCTTAGCATAGTAGCCTCGTGGAGATACTTTTAGCGACAGCTCGCAATGCTAATTAATTTTTAAAATATGCAAAATTTGGTGGTTAGTGAAACAATTTAAATTTCGAGTTGTTGCGTACGTGTAGCATCACAATAAATAAATAGATCGTATCTGTTCCACGACGCCCAACGTTTCTGATGTGTTAGGCTTGTTTCAAACGTCGCGCTATAACGCAACAACTCCCAATTTAAATTGTTTCACTAACCACCGAATTTTGCATATTTTAAAACTTAAGGGGCATTGTCTGCAAGAACGGTCCAGCGAATTCTGACACAATTTTCGTTTGGCTTCATAATACATCTATAACTTCCTTGATGTATCCTGATTCTTGTTCAAATAGTCATTTCTTGAAGATTGTCTTATTTTTTTGTTTATCCTCAAATATATTAGACACGTTCAGGAATCCAAAATGGCGCTCATGATTAGGACGGATATTTGCAATTTTTCTAACTTTGCACCGAAGTCGTGCGAGGATCTACAGAACATGAATCCGTGTTTTTATATTGAATAACGTATGTTCTTTTCAGGAAAGTAATATTAAGCCAAATATCTATTTGGAACGGGCGATTTTAGAGGCAGTAATATTTGTCCCATTGGAGTCCGTCATTCATGATCGAAAACCTAATGGATTCCGCAAGGCGTAGTAAAAAAGTGGATTGCTTCTGAAATTTAAATCCTATTAAAATATGTAGATGAATAACTAAGTTATTCATATCAAATGAGAAAAGTTTTGGTCAAGCTCATTTCCCGCGACAAAGGAAGAAGTCTTTATGAGGCAAAACCGCCCCTATGCATGGGCGGGATAACATTTATGAGATGGTGTCCTAGCCACTATTTCTTGTTAATGCTCGTCTTAGGTTTATTGGAGAACAATGCTAGTCCATTTAGTTAAAATTTCACATTGTATGACAGAATTTTATAAACTGGAGATGGATATTTTTCCATACAAACGCGATTAGGCGGCAATACATCTCCGCTCGGTGGTCACCTGTCATCAATTAAAAGCTCTAAAATAAATAAATACACGCAACAAATCAATAATTGTTTGTGTTTAAAGAAGGCGTTTTATAACTTTTCCTTCTACTATTTATTAAATAGAAAGTATTTTAGACCAATTCCGTCACCATTATCGGAAAATAGTTTGTACTTGAAATATATTTGTAGTTTTGGCTTTTGTTTATAATATGCATTTCGCTGATATTAATTAAAAGTTGTCGATTTCAATGTTTCTTTTAATATCCGGTTTCTATAACTGATTCAATGTATATAAATAACACGGCGCTTTCGTTTTTGGCATGCTTTTTCTTAATATTCTTTTTAACCATGTCTGGCAATTTTTTTTTAAGTAAGAAGGATCCAAAACAATGTAGAGACTGTCGAGGACTGAGTGAGATATTTCGGCTTTCTTCATGCAATGATAATGTCGGAGACACTTCGAAGGCTTGCACATTTCCGGAGATATCGTCTCTGAAGTTGAACTGATTTCGTGAATTCGTGTTATATATCACGCAACCCACACAGGACTCGAAAATTCGTAAAAGGAAGAGATGTTATTACTTATTAGCTTGCAAATGTGCAAAGGTGTGCAAAAACAGTATGTGGGGTATTTGTACCTCTCTCGGAACAAGATTAAGGGCCTGTATACTATATACGGATGCGGTTATCCGGCTATAGTGAAATTGTGTTTTTCGGCTGAGTGTCAGTTATATTTTATGCTTCTCCAGATCTCCACAAATCGATTGCACTATTATCCATAATATTTATTGTTTTACAACTATTTGCTCTAGCTGCCGAAAGAGTCACAAAAGAAATGTAGATAGAGAGGA